TTGGTGACTTAGGTGGGCACCTTCTCTTTTCCTGGTCCCACATCTGCTTCCATGAATTCCTCTCTCCTTTGAAACCCCAGAGCTGCTTTGCTGTGGCAGAGCATAGCTCAGACAAAGGTCTCTTGGTGTAAATGCAGGGGTGGGGGCTGGGGAAGCTGGGAGGAGCCGGGTAAGTGGTAACAAATATTTATGGAGCCAGGTCTGTGCCAGGTACAGTGCTGGTCACGGTGAGATAAGGAGCTGGAGGAGGTGCCAGGACTTGGTCTCCAAGGCTGGATTCCAAGCCCAGAAGGAGGCTGGCAGCAGGGCAGTAGGAGGTGGTAGCTCTCTCATCTGGATCATGGAATGGAGGGCTTGGGTGCTGGGGTGGCAGGCCCAGCTCTTCATTACTGGGTTTCCACAGGCATGTGAGGGTTCCCTCAGACCCCTTCTGGAAAATAGGGTTTCTCCAGTTGGTGCTTTCTATGCTCAGCTCCCTGACTCATTGGGAACAAGTCTACCTGGGTGCAGAGGCCCTCCTCAGACACCCTAGCTGGAGATCTAATCCCTAATCTCTCTGGCAGTCTCTATAAGAGTCCTTCCACGGCCCCCATCTCACTTGGAGTAGAAATCAGTTTTGGGAGTCCCTACCCGACCTTGCACCACTTGCCTACCTGGGCTCCTTTATTCTTCTTCTTTTTTTTTTTGCGGTTTTTGGCCCGGGCTGGGTTTGAACCCGCCACCTCCAGCATACGGGGCTGGTGCCCTACTCCTTTGAGCCACAGGCACCGCTGGGCTCCTTTATTCTTATTGTCTTTCCTCTTTTGCTCCTCCCAGCCTTGCTGGCTTCACTGCTCCTTGAACACACCAGTCACATCCTCACCTGGGGACTTTGGCACTTGTGGTGCCCTGACACTGGGACTCAGACTCTCTCTTGCGGACCGTTCCACCTCTCTGGTCCTGCATCATCTTTTTCCAAATCATTTTATGCCCTAGTAAGATGCTTTCTAAGTTACTTGTTTGCTATGTTTTCTTGCCTGACTTCTCTCACTAGAATGGTAGACTCGTGTGGGGAGAAATCTGTCTGTTTTATTCACCAATGAATGAACAGCACTCAGGACAGTACCCCCCACACAGTAGCAGCTCAAAAAAGACTTTTAGGAAGAGTTAATGACTACGTGGGGTAAGGATGAATTGTTGTGTAAGGGTTAGGAGGACAGGCTTTAGAGTCACAATGCCTGGGGTCATGTCCAGCTATGCTATTTACTAGCTTGATGGCCTTGGCTAAGTCAGTTTGTATCTCCACTCTTGAGTTTCCTCTTCAGAAAAATGAGGCCTGGAGGGAACCCTTTCCATTGCTAGTGAGGCTGAAAATGGTATAGCCACTTTGGGAAACAGTCTGGCACTTTCTTAAAATGTGAACCACAGACTTCCCACACAGCCCAACAATTCCGCTCCTAGAAATCTGCCCAAATGAAAAGAAAACATATGCCCACACAGAGACTGGTGTATGCATGTTCATAACAGCATTACTCAAACAGCCAAAGGGTGAAAATAATCCAAACACTCATCGATGGAAAAATGGATAAGTAAGATGTAGTCCACCCATACAATGAAATATTATTCAGCCATAAAAAGAAATTAAATACTGTACTATTACACTTTACAATGCACATGAACCTTGAAGACATTATACCAAGTGAAAGAAGGCCATCACCAAAGCCACATACTCCATGATTTCATCTATATAAAATGTTCAGAATGAGTAAATCTATAGAGACAAAAAGTAGATTAGTGGTTGCCTGGAGCTGAGGGTGGGGATGGGAAATGATGGTTATGAAATTTCTTTTGGGGGTAATAGAAATGTTTTAAAATTGGATTGAGATGATAGTTGTGCAACTCTTTAAATTTATTAAACAATCATGGAATTGTACACTTAAAATATGATTCTATAGTATGTAAATGATGCCTCAATAAAGATGTGTAAGAATAGTAAAAATGAAAACAAAACCTAGAGCCCACAATTGTGTCTATTTTATGCTGCTTTTGTGGGGATTAAATGAGCTCCTCTGTGTGATCTTCCTAGAAGCTGAGATTGGGTAAAATACTCTAGAAATGTATTTTTTATTATTAACAAACATGGCTATGATCATATATGTAAAATGCTCAGCACAGTAAAAGACAAATGATAGAGATCCATGTGAGATCACTACTGCTTCAATAACCATCACCATTTGGTGACTTTTTTTTTTTTTTTTGCAGTTTTGGGCCGGGGCTGGATTTGAACCTGCCATCTCCGTCATATGAGGCTGGCGCTCTATTCCTTTGAGCCACAGGTGCTGCCCTGGTGACTTTTTCATTTTTCATGTCTGTCCCATGAACCTGGGCCTCAGTGTTTTCACTGGGCTCCATCTCTAAGGCCCTGCTTTTTTTTTTTTTTTTTAAGTTCTATATTTTGTTCTGGGACTATTTTTGTCAGGAGGCAGCAGGTCATACAGGGTAGAGGGCAGGTGGTGGGCAAACCTGTAGAGCAGGGTGGGAGCCTCTGGGCATGGAGACAGAGATGCATGTAGAAAAGGGTTTCAAAGTAGGTTGTGTGGTGGGAACTGATCATGAGGGTTATTGTGACTTGGCTAAGGGTTCAGAGCATGGAGCCTGTCAAGCCTGGGTTTGAGTCCCATTTTGTAGCTGTGAGATCTTGGGCAAGAAAATTCCTCTCTGGGCTCTGTTCCTGCCTCTTGGGAATGGGGAGAATATTTCCTATATCCCAATGAGATGGCAGTGAGGATTCTCTGAGGACTTGTACATACCAGGTTGTGACAATAATAACAAAGCAAAAGCAGCAGCAACTTCTTTTTTTTTTTTTTTTTTT